GATTAATTAAAAAATCAAAAATAATACTTGACATTTAAAAAAATCTTCATGAACACGATGCAACACTTATTTAACATGGTAGCCAAAAACATGTTTTTATTTTAAAATATTTTTTTTATTTTGATATCATCACATTCATAGTTTTAAAAATTGGCTAGGTTGGACAAGTCGATTTAGGATCCAGCTGGTCTAGAGTTTAAATCGGGCTGGGTTGAATAAAAACAAGAAAATAAAAAATCTGGTGAGACTTGACGACCCGGTTGATCTGAAAAAACCTGATTACAATCTATTGATTTTTTATTTATTTAAACAATGTTATTTTGATTTAAAAAAAGAATTAACCCGGATGACCCGGTCATATCTCAGAACTCAGGCCGGGTATTAGAACTATGATCACGTCATAATTAAAAAAATACTAATAATATTTATTTAATTTTTAAATATAAAAATATTTTAGAAACTCTCAAATATATATTTATTTTTAAACAAGGATTTTTTTTTTGGTGTGTGTACTTTTCATCTAAAGCAAATCATGCATGCAAGGCTCATGGCCCGATTACACAGTCTTTCCAATTTCAATCCATAACAGAAAGGCCTTGATAACTAGAATACATGCAATGGTCATACCCAGCCCAGATAATATATCGCAAGCTGATGTCTACATGAAACACCCTCGTAGATTTTGGATTCATTTTGTTTTTTTTTTTTAAATTGGCTTATTCAAACTGATCCAATCACAGCATAGCACAAGGTTTTCCATGGAATCCCAAAAACTTTCACTCCAAAAAAACACTAAGATACACGACAACAACAACGAAAACACGCGCGCGCACCCAAGGGACTGTCTTCAACTCGAGGAAATTTCTTTAAGCCCACTCGCACCGGGTGGTCGGCCGGTAAGGATTGGCAGGCCGAGCATCGATGGCAAGGGGAGCTAGTCGGGGTCTGTTGTTTACGAATGAAGAAGATAAAGGGAACAGAGGAGAGAACGTGCAGTGGTTAAATTGAAAAATTATTACCAGCTGCCTGTCTCTCATTGATAATGTTCCGGTGGTAATCTTGAATTACCAGTAACTTACCCACCGCAATCGTATTAACGACAGAGAGCGGTTGGTAGTCATTTTTACACACTCGCTTGTGGATTGAAAATGTAAAAAATAGAATTCGAATCAGGGATGTTCTGACACCTTGGAGATCTCCTTGCCACCACTTGACTAGCAGTGCATATCTAGAAAACTTAAAAAATGGAACAGAATGAGTCATCAAATAATGGTACCCAGAATTTTTGTTTATACAACCCTCCTCTAGTTCATTACTCTGGTATTTTTCATTGCTTGTTGGCAGACGGACACTCTCCAATCTCCGAATAATATCAGGTGGTTGAGTGGGATCGGCGAATGAAAAGGCTAGCAGAGCTGTTGGTGGGGTTTTTTAGTGAAGGATTGGGATTGAAATTTGAACGTGGGGCATTGAAAGAGATGCAACTGGAAGTTCGAGCGGGTTACTAACAGAAGGCATTGAAAGAGATGAACCAAACGGCTAACGGTGTGCCGTCACCGTCCTTATTGTCCCCAGCCCAGTGACAACAGACGAGAAATGTCCCATAATTCAAGGATATTTTTTAATTCTCCTTGCAATGGTTAGAAGGAGGCCCATTTGGCGGTGAATTACGTCCCCTCTGCATTTGTAGAAAATTTAAAGCTTTGCTGTAACCCTCATTCAGCAGCATAGAAATCATAGATGTGCTTCGTTTTTTCGAGTTTCAACTTTCAACATTGATGATAGAAACAAAACTAATATCAGGGTGGAAGCATCTTAAAGGCTTGGGTGGTTTCTAGCCGAGTTAAAGATTTTATTAATTTTTTTAATTAATTTTTTTTTATAATTCTTAATTAAGTTATTAAAAAATTTTAAAAATTTATGTAGACTCTTTTAATATTATCCTTTAGCTTGTGTTAAAATTTTATAATTTTTTAAAAAGTTTAAAAATTTAATAAAATATCATAATTTAATCAGTTTTATATTAGTAGGCATAATTTTCATAAATTTTTAAAATATATTAAATAAAATCTAGTTAAAATTTTAGGATGAATGGAGTTTGGTACTACTAACAAAAAAAATCATTAAATAAAAACAAAATAACTCATTAAAAATAAAATAATTATTTACAATTAAAAAATAAAACAAAATTTTTTTTTCTTTCTTTTAATGCTGCCAACTGAACAAAAGCAAAAATAAAAAAGAAAGCAAAGAAAAGACAGCAGAGAGAGAAGTAAGATAAAAAAATAAAAAAATAAAAAAATTTTCTTATAAACTTATAAAATCCAGTTTATAAAATACTGATTCATTCAAAAATCAAATAAAGAAAGAAAAAAATAAAATAAAAAATTAATTATTTTATTTTTTAATTGATATGATATTATCATTTTATTCTAGTTAAATGTTGTTATAATTGAGAATTGTAACAATATCGATTCAGTTTTAATTATAAATAAATTATATTTTACAAAATATTGAATGATGTAACTTCAATAATGAGTTTATTTTTATTTTATGTACTTTAAATTTATTTTTTTATATTTTAAATTAAAATTTTATTATTAATTTTAAAAATTCGTACATGAGTTAATAATTAATTTTAAAAAAATTTATATATTTATTTAATAGTCATGACTGAAAAAATTCCTTGCTACACCTCCCTCGCATGCGAGTTATGTTGATGCCAGAGAACTAGGTATTATACCTTACCTTCTTCAAGATCACGAACTCGCCGATAGGTTCCTGAGATTTTTCTTCTTCTTCCTGTTGTTCAATCAACCTCGGTGGTTTTGGGAAGGTGGCAGAGAGTAGAGGCTGCCTTAATGGGAGTCACTCAGGCACTATCTCTCTCTCTCTCAAACCTCTTGAATTGAGGTCACGGCCAGCTTTCATAGTCAATAACTGCTACGTGATCTCACGTCCACTTGCCTCCTCTTCCTATCTTCCTCCCTTTTTAAGCATTACTAGCTACCATCGCTTTTAAGCAGCATTTAAGAATATATTAAATAATATTTTTTTAATATTAATATAACAAAATGATCAAAAAGATATTTTTTAAAAATACTTTAAAATACAGGTTTTAATGCATGCCCACTGCAACCGGCAACTTTATCATGCACGGTTGCTGAAACACCTAGCATCAGCTTGCTCTTACGAATTCATCCTTCTCTATCTCTCCACTTTCCGGTCCTCGTAGCAATTCTTTTTTTTATCTTCAATTCTTCCTTTTTTTTTTTAATTTTCATATTAGCATAGTAAAATAATAAAAAATATTGCATATTAAAATAATAAAAAATATCAAAAAATAATTTAAATAAAAAAATACAAGAAACAAAGTGCAACCGTGTTGTGGTTCAAACTCAACATTACAATCGCATTTTTACTACAGGAAGTGTATGGTGGTTAAAATTATAATTCATCTCAACTATAATATTAAAATTACTTAATTAATTAACATGCCTCACAATATTAATCTGTTTCTAAATTGGAACTACAAAAGCGATATAAGATGCCCAATACATTTATGGTATTTAGTAATTAATTAAAGAAAATGAGATTGGAGTACATATGATCCTCACGTAAGTAGAGAAACTTCACATGTATATCTTAATACACAAAAATTTATATAAAACAATAAACTAGTTTTATATTATATCAAACATGCATTTCAATTTAACCTGTAAGTTTACTATACAATTTTTTTAAAAAGCTAATTTATTTTTATATTTCAAAAGTATTTTTTTTAAAAATAAATTTTATTTTTATTTTTTTACTTCATATTATTTTTTATTTTTAGATTATTTTAATATACTGATTTTAAAAATAAAAAATATTATTTGAATGTGTTTTCAAACAAAAAAATATTTTAAAAAACATAATTACCCTAAATATAAACACAACTATAACCCCAACTACAACTACATAATTTATAAGATATTCTTGCATATTTTTCTCATGTTCTACATAATTATTTGTGCTCCTATTTATAAATTTAAGAGCTACTGAGTCTTCATGTGTGGATTGCAAAAGGAAAAACTAAATATTTAATTTTGCAATTTATTTACTCAATCATCTTTTAAAGTTTTGTAACCAATTTCACATGACCTTAATTAAAAAAAATCAGAGAGTAAAAAAGAAATAATTATGATATAATGATAGGTATTCCCTCTTCTCTTTGAACTAGACAAAGAGTGAATCCAATTTATTTTCATTAAAAGTACACGTGGCCTCTTCTCTTTGAACTAGACAAAGAGTGAATCCAATTTATTTTCATTAAAAGTACACGTGGCTTCATGACAGAGCGCTTACTAGAAAGGCAATTGCTATAGAGAGTGCCCCCAGCATGAGTCCTTTACCCTGAAACAATTTTTAGTTTGTCTTCCTCTACAATCGTAGGGTAACGAATTATGTAGTTTTTAAATCATTTTTTTTAAATATATAAAAATAATATAATTTTATTTTTTAAAAATTATTTTTATATTAACATATAAAAATATTAAAAAATTAATTTTAAACAAACACATATTTTTCAAAAAATTATAAAACATGGTTTTAACAGCAAAAATAAACAGCACATACTATATCATTTAAGTTAGATTTTCAAGTTGAGAATTTAAGGGTAGAAAAATAATCTTGACACTCAGTTACAAAAAAAATATAAAATTAAGGTAATATTTTTTTTTTTGTAGTTTCATTTAAGTTAGATTTTCAAGTTGAGAATTTAAGGGTAGAAAAATAATCTTGACATTCAATTAAAACAAAAATATAAAATTAAGGTAATATTTGTTTTTATGTTTTAAAAAATTTAATTTTTTTATTTTTTTCTTGCTTCAATTTAATATTTTTTTTGATATTTTTAAATTATTTTAATATATTAATATTAAAAATAAAAAAATATTTTAATATATTATTAAATAAAAAATACTTAAAAAACAACTAAACCACCCAAACAGGCTATGATTTTTTGGTACGTCATTGCCCATGTGGGCGTTGTTAAGTACATCTTTGTCTTTCTTGCTTGGCAACAGACCTGAGCCACCTCCTTTCCCCACTTCTGGCTCTCTTCTTGCTAGCAAAGACAATCCCATTTCTGTTTTCTCTTCAAAAATGGAAGATCAATCTCCAAGTATGTTATCAATGCTCATTTTCTTTTCTTGAAGTTTGTGTTTTTATCCTCATCTTGGTTCCTGAACACTCATTGCCTTATATGTATGTCTCTGTACTTGAACTTGTTAATGGGCTAGAGGGATTGCTTTGCTCCACACTAAGCATTCAAAATTCAAACCCTTAGTGCAATAACGTGATCCTGTTATAGATTTGTTCAACATTGTTAATTTGTGTATAAGTGTTCTTTGGTCTCTTGTGAAATATAGGGGAAAAAACCCAGAAATCGGATATGAACCTTGAAATGAAATTAATACTACTGCACCAAACTCGTTCTTATTTTGAGAAACAGAAGCACATAGAAAAATTAGATGTAACATGTGATTTTTCTCTCGATTCTCTCGTTCAAATGTGATTTTTCTCTTCATAATTGATTTGCATTTTTCTCTCCAGAACTTGTTATCACCTCCTCCTGTTTCGTTTAATGTATTCTTCTTTTCTCTGATTGGTGTGTTGTAGCTTTTCTCGATTTTTGTTTTATGGATAGCAATTATATCCGACCAAGGCTTTTCACTATGCTGTAGTCAGTCTGCTTGGGAAGGGTGAAAATCGTGTTCCTCAAATTTATTTATTTATTTTTTTGTTAAAAAATATTTTTTTAATATTTTTATATCATTTTAATATATTTTAAAATTGATTTTTTCAAAAAAAATTATTTTAATATATATCTAAATAAAAAACACACACAACCGGTACCTGGAAGCCTTCCCTTGCTATTTATCAATGGATGCCTCTAGTTGCTGTGGTTGAAGAAGTGCACCACCAAGATTTGAACAAGAGAACCCTAATAGCACTAACTGTTGCTTCCACTCTCCTTGTTGGAATAGTGTTGTTTCTCTCATGTTGCTGGATCTGTAGACTGAAAAAATCAAGGACATGCAGTGCCAAAAGTAAAGGCAATGGTATCTTCTTTTCCAAGAATTGAATTTGCTTTTGCTGTTACAATTTTCCTTTTCGAGGCATGCCACACACGATTGTGCTTTTTATGCAGACTCAGTATTTCAGCTTTTTTTGTTTGAATTTAATATTTAGATGTCCCGACTGTGGATAAATTAATTTCCTTGAGGATGGCTGAGAAGAAGGGTTCAGTTGCTGTTATAGAATATCATTTGTTGGAAGCTGCAACAAACAATTTCCAGGAAGTTAATGTCCTGGGTGAAGGTGGTCGTGGATGTTTGTATAAAGCTTGTTTCAGTGAAAAACTCCTTGCAGCAGTGAGGAGATTTGAAGGTGAAGAACAGGACATTGAAAGAGAATTTGAGGTAACGTATTACATGAAATTGATTTGATTATCAATTGTTTTGAATCATTATGGATTCTTAAATTTTTTTCCTTTCCATTGAAATTTTGTTTGTAAATGCAGAACGAGCTGAACTGGTTAACGAAAATTCATCATCAAAACATAATTTCTCTTCTGGGTTACTGCATTCATGGTGAACAAAGGTTTCTCGTGTATGAAATGATGCAAAATGGGTCTTTGGAAAGTCAATTGCATGGTAAACTTCATATCTATCCGACTTTTAAAATTAAAAAATAAGCATTAGAAGACTCCAACTTGTGCCTTTTTTCTTATACTATTTATGCTATTGATGAACATGCAGGGCCAACACATGGATCAGCATTAACTTGGAATCTGCGAATGAAAATTGCTGTTGATGTTGCAAGGTAACTCAAACTCCTGTTTTTCTGGTTTGCGCTTTACCTCTTTCTTTATCCTTTTCTTATGCTTACTACTTCCTCCCACCAAAACTGATATTGACCAGGGGACTAGAGTATCTTCATGAGCATTGCAATCCTCCTGTTGTCCATAGAGATCTGAAGTCATCTAATATTCTTCTGGATTCCAACTTCAATGCAAAGGTAAAAGCCATGCATGTATGACAACCTCATGAGTACTGCACTCCTCATAGGTGCATGTTCTTAGCACCGGTCCGTGATTCTAACTAGGATGTTTCGTTTGATGAGCTTTTACTTATTCAGCTTTCGGACTTTGGCCTTGCTGTAGCTTCTGGTATCCAAAACAAGTACATAAAGCTTTCAGGAACTTCAGGTTATGTGGCACCAGAGTACCTTTTGGATGGTATGTCAAATTACTTCCAGAGAAGTCATATGCTGCTGACCAGCATATTTTTCATACTTCTGCTAATTACAAATTACATCGTTGCTTTCTTCTATGATTTCTTAGTTTATTTGTCAATCATATTTTCAGCAATTAAATACCATGTTCTTGCATTCTTTGATGAACTTTTCATAGTTCTAACTTCTGTCACATGAAATGTGATGATTTTCCAGGAAGAATCACTGTTTCAGCTCTATATCTGAGAAATAGAACTAAAAATGCTTACTGTTGAGGAGAGATTCTGATAGTGGATGCTTAAACAGAATATTTTATAAAAGGTTTTCATATTTTTAAAATCATGCGGTGTCTTTTAGCGCTTCATCCCTAAGGCTTAGTTTGTTAACAAGGCTGAACATATTCTGTGAGAAGAATGTCAGGTGTTGAATGAGGCGGGTTTTGCTATAGCCTCTTAATCTAATTCTGATGTGTGCTTTTTGATGATGAATTTTGGTAACAGGAGATCCATGGAAATCTTTTCTATTTCATTTTCAAGAACTATAAAATTCTACCAGAGAGTATCTTTTTCTTTCCTCGGTGCTACATAGTGAAGGTTTTTAAACAACATTTCCTGCATTTAGTCTTTCTTTGATACAGAATGAAGCCTGATTGTTTATTCAGCCAATCTCTTGGAAAGAGATGTATGATCGCTTCCATTTTTCCTTTCCAGGCAAACTAACTGATAAAAGTGATGTCTATGCTTTTGGAGTTCTCCTTCTGGAACTCCTGATAGGAAGAAAACCAGTGGAAAAGACGTCTCCGGATCATTTTCAGTTCATAGTCTCATGGGTAATTTTCCTTCAACATTTTTTAGCAGTCATGCCTCGAGGAGTCAACCTAATTGTACCATCATTTTTTACATGTAGGCCATGCCTCGGCTCGCTGACAGATCAAAGCTTCCCAACTTTGTGGATCCTGTTATCAAAGACACTATGAATTTAAAACACTTATACCAGGTATATTGAATAAGAAACTAAATATTTGTGTGCTCGTTACTTTTTTGTTCTTGCTTTTAGCGTACAAATTTAATCACATATTACCCTTGAGTAGGTAGCTGCAGTGGCAGTACTATGCGTGCAACAAGAACCAAGTTACAGGCCATTGATAACAGATGTCCTGCACTCTCTCATCCCTCTTGTACCTCTTGCGCTTGGAGGGTCACTGAGAATTACAGGACCTGTTCCTCTTGCCCTGCCTTCTCTCTGATGATGAGTACATCTCAAACTGACCATTTCTTTTGTATATTTAAATGTATGAAAATCATTAGAGTTTTTTTTTTTTCATTGTTACATTTGTTAATTGAATTTATTTTTAGTTGATTTCCCCTTAAACTGCCTCAATAATTGGATCTTCAGCAACACAACTTTCCGAGGTTTTAGTAAGATGTCCCGATATCAGATAAAAAGGAGGGTGGTAGTTGCTGAAGGACATGAAAATAATGTACGGTGGTAGATTCTATTGTTTCATCCAGTCAACTTAATCGATCACCAGATATTGTTCTATCCTTCTGTTATGTGGATATTTAACACCGTGATCATAGTTCTCCAGAGCTCAGCTGTTTGAGCAGCAATGCATTGCAGATCAGGAGATATACAACGCTGTAGCCAAAGCTGCCCTCTCTGACATTTCAAGTCATTTTCTGCAAGACATGGCCTTAACGGTGTTGTAATGTGTGAAGTTGTAGCTTTAGATGACCATTCGTCGTGCCGAGTTTTTCTTGAGTAACATGCAACGCTTGCTCATTTGCACATCGATGGACACTAAGTTATTCATGGTTTCATCATTACATATAAGCCATTACGTTCCATTTTGACTGGTTTGAAACTTATCATTCTTCTGTATAACTCAAAAACTTGCCTTTAAATATGGAAATAAAGTTGGAATAAACCAGCCAGGCTCGGGCTACCCGCTTTGCATATTTACTTCAACTAAATTTATAAGAGCTGCTGAACAAAGTTATTTCTGCTTTCTGATGAAGCAGGAGAGAGCTTAGATCGGCTAAGGCAATGTAAAACTCTAGTAATTTTAGAGAATTTGGATGCCTCATCCAGATATGGAATTGGAATATGAATATTTTCGTATGGCAGATACAATACTGCCCCCAAAAACAAACAGCAATTAGGATCGAAGAAAGTATAAACCAATTGAGGTAGCAAATGATACAAGATAATTGTCTTATGCAGAAGCTTGGATGGCCTAACCCAATAGGACAAAAGGAACGCTATTAAGCAAGGTCCGAAAACTCTTGAATTCATCTGTTGAGGATTTTGACTCAAGTCCACCCTGTCGGATACAGACACGGAAGATGGGAGAACTATGCACAGATCCTGAAATCCTCGTCAACGCCAACTGTAAAATGCAAAATCTAAGCAGATTATCAAGCATATTCTGATGACAGCATGCATGTGTATACCTAGAAAACTAAGTGAATTCTATTTGATTATCACATGATGCAGATCATCAATGATGCAGGGTGGCGATCAATTATGAGAGACAATGTAATTCTTGTCTGTCATGCAACGACATGATTCACAGTTAGGCAACAAACAGACGTATTCTACAACATAATGCTTAGATTTGACATACTGGCCATGATATTATCAAAGAAACAAATAAAACAAAAACCGTGAAATTGGAGATATATTCTTGAGTTCATCAACAGTTCCGTATCCTTTTTATTGAACATTCTAAACTCCCACGAGATGGCTACAATTGCTTAATTCCCCCCACTACTTGGCCACATTTCCTCTCCATTTATCTCTTAAATTTCGAAAGAGAAATGGTACTACCAAGCTTCATCTGCACCAATAGCACCAAGAATATGCTTGTTAAAATTGTTCATCCCGGAGGTCACGTAGAGCTCCATGATAGGCCTGTTCTTGCAGAAGAGGTCATGCTTCGTAACCCAAGATGCATAGTCGCCTATCCGCATGTGTTCCGGCAGCCTTGGGCTATTGTTGCACCAGACACCATGCTACTGCTTGGTCAGAAGTTCTATGTCGTTCCTATAAACACAATCAGAAAGCTTCAGCGTAGGTCCAACACAAGATCTCAATCTCCAATCAATGATGTCCGAGCCAGCAAGACCCCTAACAACGATGAAAGGGGCAGTGATATCTCATCCAATTGCTGGTATTTTATTAGCAAGAACATGAAGTCACCGTGTCCTTGCTTACACAGAGACGACGATGAGAGAGCAAACACCACTGGAACTAACATCGATAGTAAAGCCAACACTCTTAATACAAGTGAAGAAACAAAATCATCAGGCAGCATAGGGTGTTCTGAGTCCAAGGATTGTACCAGGAAGAGAAGAAAGCAGATGACAACAGGATCACCCAACAGATTTACATCTCTTGATCAGTGGCAACCAAATCTAGACAGCATTGTCGAAGAACATCAAAGCAAATAGCCATATTAAAATTTCTTTCCCATACTGCTTCATATAGATGTCCAATGATTTGTATATGCGTATGTGGACAATATGAAAGGTTACATTCAAGATTTGTCAAGATGAGAATGTATGTCAAGTGCCTGTAATCATGGTTGTAAACCTCCAGATTGATGAGCTAATGACGCGTTGTATGATAAAAAGGTTTCACCAATCCTAAATTTAAGGCTAAATTGTAAAGATAATTCCATTTAATACTTTGAATTTTAATAATTGAATGTTACAAAATTGTTTTTAAATAGTAAATTAAACCTAAATAACTAATAAAACTTAAATTAAATAAATATTCAACAATTAGGAAAGAAACTCAAAAATAAAAAACTCTGAAACAATAACCTCCAAATCTAGTTTAAACATGGAAACCATTTTAATGGTATTTAAGAATATGGTAAAAGTTTTTTTTTTTTTTATAAATGCTTTAAAATATTATTTTAAAAAAATTTATTTTTGACATTAATATATTAAAACGATCCAAAAATGCTAAAAAAACTTAATTTGAAAACAAATTTTTTTTAATTTTTTTTTGATAAAAAACATGTTTAAACTCAATTTCAAACAGGGTCATAATAAACTAACTTTTTATAAATATAACTTGTAGAACAATTTATAAAATTTTAGTACGATATATTGATCCAATTAAAATTTACATTTGTTTTTATTAAAAAAGACTCGTTTAACTTGTTCAGATTTGATCCAAACCAATAAAAAATGGAAAACACCTTTCTTTTGTTGTTACTTTCCCTAAACTTCAAACCTAAAATTAAAAAGAAAAGATTATCTAGATTATTTTATAGTTAAGTTATTTTTATATTTATCATTCGTATTTAAAAAATATAGTTTATATCTTTAATTATTATATAATTTAATATAATTTACATAAATAATATAAACTGTAATATTAAAAAAAATGGAAGGTAAATATAAAAAAAATTAAACTATAAATAATCAGCATAATTTTTTAATTAATCTATCAAATTAAGCTGGTTAATTCTGAATATTGATCCTAAACGTGGTTTTAAGACCCTGCTCAATTTGATAGATTATCTCGATAATCCAAATCTTAGTTCAGATCAAATCCTTAAAAAAATAAAATTTAATTTAATTGTTTTAAATTTTCTTTTTTAAATGTGGATTGCTTTATTAACTCCCTTTTGCTATCAAAGCCTTGGAACATGTGAAGCTAAACAATCACTTGATATGTTTATTTTTGTGATTTAATGTATTTCTGAAAAATTTATGAAATTTTTTAGCATGAATAATTTTAAAATGTTAATATTAAAAATAAATTTTAAAAATAAAAAAATAATTTTAAAAACATTGTTTACTACACTATCAAATATAACTTCCGTAAAACAAGGTCAAATGTATTTTAATATTAGGCCCCTTTTGAAAGACAGCACTGGTTACTATTTTACTTGCCATCTGGTCTCCTCTTCAATTGTGAAATGAGGATCCCACGGCACGTAACTTATTAAAGTTAAATTAGTGGTCAATTTGGGAGCCATATTCTCAATTTTCTCTTATTTTGATCATTTTATTCTTCTTTATTCTACTATCATCCTTAATCTTCTTATTTTTGTAATATTTTCCCCTTTCATCAGCCATGGTTAGAAACCATAACTACCTTCAATAACCTATCATTATATAAATACATAATAAAATTGAGAAATGATAAAAGTATATATGATTAGAAATGTAGTATAGAGTGTTTTTTTAATTAAAAATATATAAAAATAATATTTTTTATTTTTAACAAAAACACATAAAAATCATCCAAAAACACTTAAAAATCATCCATTTAATATCTTTATCAAACAAAAATAATTTAAAGAAACATTTTGTGACCTTAAAGTAGAGAAAGGGCAGATAGATAATTTAACAACATTACTAATTATGGTTTAATCACGAATACTTCAAAAAAAGAAAAAAGAAAAAGGTTTAATGGATGATAATCAGAACAAAAACATGTATGGACCATACTAAAACAAATTAAGAGTAGAGTGAGTAAATACACCAATAATCCCACAAAACTGTACCCTTGCAGGGGAAATGAACTTATCTAGTTTACCCCTGCCATGGAAATGAAAAGGAATAAATGCACGCAACCAAAACAGCTACGCATCAATCTCAAACGCCTTCCTCCTGTAGATGCAGCCACCGCCACCACCAACCCCTTCCCAGGTATAAACAACCAAAAACTTCCCTCGATTGTTCTTTCTATGAGCAATATCTTTGTTTATGGAATCTTTATTTATCTACCTGGTTAAATGTAATTCCATACTTCAATCCTTTTTCTTTCTGTTTTCTGCGTATCATGTTGTTTTCTAGATTATTAAGAAAGACAAGCCAACTATGAAGTATGTTGTAGAAGGTGCTAGGGCAGGACCCAAAGAGGGGCTGAAGCCGGCAAAACAATTTGATGATGAAGCAAACACAACAGCAGATTTATTAGCAGATATTAACCCATCACAAATCATCAAGACTGGAGATGGCTCCAGCACCATAAAGAACACAACCAAGGTGGGTGAAATGAGCAAGGATGATAAAAACTCTCATAACGACTCAGGTAATTTCATTGATTAGTGACTGGTAGTGAGTTCACCAGAACTGTCCTGAATTCTTTGATAAAGTTTGCTTTAAAGCACAAATTTGGGATTTTCAGGATTGAAATTTGCCACCAAAATGTTACTAGCTAACATCTTGTTCTTTTAGGTGGGCCAAAGATATCTGCCAAATCACAATTGCTGGAGACTTTAGCTGCAAACAAGTGGAAGCCCCCTTTATTTGAATGCTTCAAGGAAGAAGGACCATGCCACAAGAAATTGTAAGTACAAAATATGGAGTAAACAATCTTGGTTAAACCAAGTCATTTTTTTTCCTTTGGGTACATTTCTTTCTCATTCTCTATTTTTCAAAGCTTTTAAGTTATGAGTATTTCAAGATCCATTGCAGGTTTACCTAGAAGGTTGTAATTGGGATTGAAGGAGAAGCATCGACTGTATTGGAGTGTTTTGGTTATCCTAAATCAACAAAGAAAACAGCGGCTGAACATGCAGCTGAAGGGGCATTGTGGTACTTGAAGCATTCGGGTTATTTTCCAATCAAGAAGGTTAAGAGGAAAAAATAATTATTTATAGTTAGAAATTATTTACATTTAGACTAATTAGGTCACATTCTGTATATTCTAACATGTAGTAGTGGTAGTAAAATTAAGGTTTACCATCTGTACCCATGTATTTAGAAATCGTACATTTTTCTCTGTTGTTTTGTAGAGTTAGACTTGATCCTTGAGTTGAATAAGCTTTTCCTGATTTAAAAAAAAATATATAAATACGTTAGAATTGGATAAAATATTCTAACAAAAAAAATATTGAGGTGAAAAACCAATCTTCCCTGGATTAGCTTGCGAACTGCCGGCAACATCCATTTTCACGAATCCCACCTGGGTCTGCACCATGAAAAAGACCCAAGTTCTGAAAATAATCACAAATTCATAGATTAAATCTAAATATTAATGAAGAAATCACGGTTCATGGTTATGCGATCCAATGGCCTGTTTTCAGCCTACCTGGTTTACGAAACAATCCAAACTCTAGTCCCTTTCGACCCCATTGCAGTTTCTCTAATGAATGGTGTGTAAACAACATTTTGTAAAAGAATTGCTGGATTGAGATAACTATCGTAAGTTTATACTTTATCTAATAAGCCCAATCATGATAACACTATTGATCTGCACACTAATCCACTAAAATTGGAAAAGATTAACCAATTGAAACTATTCCCATTTCATGGTTAGTTGTTCCGTCTAATTCATCCCCTCTAAACTAAAAAAATATCTTAATTAAAATTAACGTCCTAAATATATCAACAATCAGAGTGGCGCAGCGGAAGCGTGGTGGGCCCATAACCCACAGGTCCCTGGATCGAAACCAGGCTCTGATAGCCAGGGTGGCTTCCCTCTGTTCCCTTTTTGCCCCTGATCTCCTAAAGCTTCTCTGCTTCTGGAATTTTATGTCTTTTAATCATGGAAAAAGCTGCCCTGCTCCTTCAATCTCTACTAGAATTCTATTATCTCGTGTCCTTTCACTCCAAGTTTGTGCAACTCTATGGATAATTCGATTTCCACAGGCTTTTTCCCACAACTTAGCTATTACGATATTAACAGCTCGTGAAATCAAATTCCTTTAGCTGTTAACATGTATACCAAAATCACTGTAATATTGAGTGTGTTTGATGTATGATATGTTTTTTAATTGAACATATATTTAAAAAATAATTTTGTAGTGCTTTTTGTTTCATTAAATGGCGAACGCACATAGAACCTTGTCTGTTTTTTTATTTATTTTTTAATTTTTTACAAGCTATAATTTTCTTCATAGAAGTAAGAAGATGAGCCCATATGATTGGATCAAAACTATGAGGTAGTTACTCTAGAAGCAGAAATGAAAGCTGACATGCAAGACGCGAAAATGTATGTGATAGTGAAATTCAATGTTGGGTTGATTATTCCCAAATCTTGCATATCTTACAAGCTAATAATCAAGATTGTCAGAAGAACAATGAAATAGATTAATACCCTAATCCCTCGAACCTAGGACTCTCTCCCCTCTCCACAGAGAGAGAGAGAGAGAGAGAGAGAGAGACACTATAAACTCATTGTTTCTCATTCAAACAGTGTAGTGTTGTTGAATGGTCTCAATGTCAAGTCCCTTGAGTTTCACCACTGACTCCACATGACCCTTGAGCGTGTGAAGCTCCCTCAGCCTGGAACAAAGGAGATCATGAGTGGAATTAAGATATGTAGGCATAGATTGGGAAGAAATTGCTAATAGTGAAAATCAAAAGCTTCGGAGATCATTACCGAGCGACCTCAGCGCGCCTCTTGGCATGTTCAGCGATATCATGTAACTCTCTGTAGTTGCTCTTATCATTGAAAAGTTCTGAGCCCTCGGGAGGATGCA